AAAATGAATCATAATATAGGTAAAGCAGCGCACAGCTCTTTCAAAAGCAAATAAAAAAAAGCAAGCACTTCAAATGCGTGAAAGTATTGACTGTTATTTTGTTGTATCTGTGAAAACCATATTATTGATATAAATTAATCAACTGAATGTCTTGTATGCTTTTGCAATAACTAACTAACCTATTTCCATCATTTCCTGATTCATCATGCTCACATTGCAAACAAGTAGATATAAATTTTGCAACACGTGGCTCAAGTTTTGATTCCAGAGTATGCTTTCCTAAAGCGTAGCCAGGATTTTCTGTAACCTAAAAGCAATTGCCAAGTGTTTACAATGACTAATTGAATTATTTTCTACCTCCTTTTGTTCCCCCCTACATTAGTAAAATCCCAAGTGAAGATAAAATCAATTACCATTGACAAGAAATGAGCGAAGTCTACTCTATAAGTACAAAAACAAATTCCTCTTCATAAAAGAAACAGTGAACTATTTCATGATCAAGAGAAAACAGACCAAAGACAATTGCAAAAAGGCACATCAAGTTACATGAAGAAAAGGAAAATGCAACAACAAGGAATATAGTCACTGTTATAGAATAATATAAATCATTAAAAAAATCCTCACCTAACACTTTAAGGTTTTAGGTTGAAGTGATTTTTTACATGATATCAGAATTTGAGTGACTACAATGTCACAAGTTCAAATCCTCACGGCCTGAGCTCTTGCGTGAGGGAGTGTGTTAGAAAATAATATAAATTATTAAAAAAAACCTCACATAACACCTTAAGGTTTTGGTTTGAAGTAGTTGTTTACCGTAGTAATATTATAACTCACTGTAGATTCTTTTTCTTTGCCACTGTAGTCCATTTCCAACCGTGCATAACTCTTTGGATAGCAAACAAAACTATTCCTATTAGACCAAGCATTCTTGGTCTTGGCTAAAAACTTCTGTTAGAACTTCTGGATAGCACTCTCACGTGAAGTGTAAGGGCCATGTATCTTGTCCTGGCCCTTTACACCTACCCTTCCCCAATATAGAACTTGAATGACATAGAATTTGTTATTGTTTTCCCCAACATTAGTCTGGTTCAACATGGCATCATAAATTTCACCACCCTGCATTGTAGAGAAAAAAAAAGGAGTCCGAGACCTATGAAGCTATCAATTTGAACAATATGGAACTAGTTAACGGTATTATCAGACTTGCCAGTTGCAGAACATGATATTGTGTTTTAACGCAATCTGGAAGGCATTGATCAAGAACAGCCGCACCCTTTTGGTTGCGATCAGGTCACTATCTTTTACTCTTCCTTCTCCTCTACACAAGACTCTGCAGCAATGTCTGTGTACCAAAGTTGATGTTGGAGATACCACATTGGTTGTACAGGCAACTAATATAGAGTTTATAATGCCTTGGTTCCTTTAAGTTAATTTTTGGGGCGATAATCTGAAACTTACCTTACATTAGAGCAATGTTTTATATAAACCAAGGAAGCCCTGGACAGTGCTAGAGGAAGGAAAATGAGGATAATACCGTTATGCAAATAATTTCCATTCAACCATCAGCGTCTCAATCCCACGTTGGTTATGAAGGTTCCATTTGCAGCTCCTCCACCTTCATTTTACTCGCTGGGGAAATGGACTCTACTCTCCCTCCAACTTCGAATTTTCAAAGCAGATAATAATAAACATTTAATTAAAAAACAATTATTGTACGTGTGAAAAATAAATTTAAAACTTATTTCATGTAGAGATCAAGTTAGCCTTATTTATAATTTTTTTTTAGAGTTTTAAGTTGTCTGGATTTTTTTTCAATAAGTTATTTTTTAACTTTAAAATATTTTTTATTTCATGTGTGCGTTTGGATGCAACATTAACTCATTAAGTAAAAAATAACAAAAGAAAAAAGAAAAAAACTTTTTTTCAAAGCCAATATTTCTATTTCTTAAAAAAATTCAAAATACTATTTTATAAATATCAATCCAAACGCAAAATAATCTGGTTAAAGATTTGATCTTTAACGTTTTGATCAGTTAAAAATATAACTTTTGCATTTTAATCGAATAAAAATCTGATCTTTAACATTTTTGTTGGATAAAAATGTGAAAGTAATCATTTAAAAAAATAATACATAAAATTTATCTTTACAGTCGTCCAAATAGACCCATAATCTCATCTAAATTTTTTACCGTAATTTTTTTTACTTTTTTGTTTTTAAAACAAAAAAATCAACAAATATAGGAGGAACAGTAACCAAAGCGCCACTGTTGGCAAAAAAAATTACCAAATTGCCACACTAACAGTAAATTTTGCCAAAATGACACGTGGTATATTTTGCTACACTGTGTAGCGAAATATGTGTCCAAATAATTCGCTACACTGTGCCGCGAATTATTTGGACACATATTTCGCTACACAGAGTAACGAAATATGTCACGTGATATTTTGGCAAAATCTACTGTTGTTGTGGCAGTGACAAAATGGTCACTGTTCCAATAAAAGATCACACCAAACACAACAGAACCGTCAGAGCACCTTGCATCAGTAAGCCAGCCCCGAAGGAGGTGCAAATGACCCTAACTTTGTGGGGAGTGGATCATCTCACGTGAAAAAGTAGTCATGTGGTCATGTTATTTGATTACAACCACTTATTTAAAAATTATATATTTTTTCTCACTTATCTCATCATCAATGAGCGATTGTGATCAAATAACATACCACATAATCACTTTTTCACGTGAGAGGATCCACTCCCAACCTTGTGTACTGTTGGAGTGTTGGTGGCACTTGGCGCGACACCGAGATGCGAGAGTTGTGGGAGGCTACAGTTGGATAAAGGAGCCATAATTTGTGTGTCAAACAAGTTGATTTGTTAATTCACAAAATATTTATTATCAAAATTATTTTCCCATTTTTTTCAATTAGCTTCTTATATAATAAAAAATAAAATTGTGTTTTGCTTGACATTTTCATAGTTTAAATATGTTAAAAATAAGAATAAGAATTTAAAAAAAAAAATTATTTGACAATTATATGGATATTTTTACCTTAAGAACTACTCTAATGCTCAATAATTTATATAAACTTCAATTATAATTAAAAAATTTATGAAAGGCTTTTGATTGTACATCACTATATTACTAAAGAAACTTTAGATAAATGCAAATATTTAAAAAAAAATACTTCTTTAAAAAGTCATAAACACTTAATTTTTAATATATTTGGCTTGACTTCCCCCTAAAAGAAGCTAAAAAAAAATTAAGCCAAACGGGTACTAAATCACTTGGATAGCTTAAATATACAAAAAAAATGTCATGTTTGTAGAATGGTGATTTGTGTTCTTTAGCACACTCCAATTACATAAACTCAATGTTGTTAAACTCGACTCGGTCATTGACCTGGTCAAAGTACGAGGTCAATAATTCACCGATATTGCTGCACATACAACATCTGCAGAAATGTAAATCCCTATTATAAAATCACATTTTAATAAATATTTTTTGATTTTCACCAATCAGCCCTCTGCTTGATGGGCCTAGCCCAAAAACATCGTCGGTTTCTTTAAAAACTTCTACTTTGGTCAAAATATATTTTCAATTTTCATTTATATTATTTATTTTTAATTCAATCTTTATATAAAATATTAAATTACATTTCTAAGTGTGCAATTAGTTTTAAATTTGCTCACATTATCTATTAGAATTATAGTACTTTGAGAAGTATATAAGATTATCACAAAGTTTAAGGACCAAATTAAAAATAATTATTATGTATAACAATAAAAGGTATGGTATTTCTAATTTTTGTGCGTAATACTTATTTTTAATTAGATAACTTACACTTTATATATTGTATTATAACTCTGACAGGTGGTGTTATAATAATAAGAATTTAATTAAAAATAAATAAAATATCATTGTACATGTGAAAAAAAAATTAAAATCTTATTTCATGTAGAGATCAAGTTAGACTTATTTTTTTTTTTATAAAAAGTTAAGAGTTTTAATTTGTCACGAGACATGTTTGGATGGATTTGTTTTTTGAAGAAATTATTTTTAAAATTTAAAATATCGTGTTTGGATGCGACTTAATTTTTTTTAACAAAAGTAAGAAGAAAATACTATTTTGGTGGTAAGTATATCCTGTCCTTTTTGTAAATAGAGTTCGTTTTTTCTAAATTTATTTTAGATAATTTTATCTAATGTTCATCGAAAAGACATCATTTTAGAGCGAAAATCATGGTGTATTTGTAATTTTAATTTATTTCAGGGTTATATTAGTGTTTATCATTCTAATTTTTTAATTTTTCAATCCCAAAATAACGTCGTTTCGGTTAACATTAAACAAAATTATCTAAAGTAGCTTTAGATATTTTTTTTCCTAGTAAATATTAACCCAAACGTAAGATAACCTCAGCTTCTAAAAGTAGGGAGATGTTATATTGAAATTTTTTACAACTCTTCGCTAAATTCATCATCGTTGATTTCTGTCAATATAGCAGTAATAATTTATTAAAAATTAATAATTAATTAATAAATGTGATCCAATAAATTATAACTGTTTAATTGACAAAAATAAACGATAATTTATTTAATAGTGAGAGTAATAAAAAATTTCAATAGTAAATATACTCCCACCCCTAAAAGTAATCATTTAAGAAAACAATACATAATGTGTTTGATAGTTTTTTGTTTAAAAAAAAATACTGTTTTATAAAATAGTTTTTAAAAAATATTTTTCAGAATAAAAGAATAAAAAAACTTGTTTGGTAAATAAATCCGGCCCAAATTTTAATACAACACCGACCAAAAATGGTCCCTAAAAAAAAAATTACCAAACTCGATTTTCGAAAATCTCCCTCCAAAACATAAGAATCCACGTCATCAATCGGGTACCAAACTCGATTTTCGAAAATCTCCCTCCCTATATAAACCCCCACCCCCTAACTCTCACGCTACCATCAATCAACCCTTCCGCAGTTCATAGTTTCTCATCCATCGATGGCGAAGAAACCGGCGGAGAAGAAGCCTGTAGCAGTGGCGGAGAAGGCTCCGGCGGAGAAGACGAGGGCGGAGAAGAAGATCCCGAAGGAGGCAAAGGCTCCGGCAGAGAAGAAGATCCCGAAGGAGGCACCTTCGGTGGAGAAGAAGAAAAAGAAAAAGTCGAAGAGCGTGGAGACTTACAAGATCTACATCTTTAAGGTGCTGAAACAGGTTCACCCTGACATCGGGATTTCAAGCAAGGCAATGGGGATAATGAACAGCTTCATCAACGATATCTTCGAGAAACTCGCACAGGAAGCTTCTAGGCTCGCTCGCTACAACAAGAAGCCAACCATCACTTCTCGCGAGATCCAGACCGCCGTTCGCCTTGTTCTCCCCGGTGAGCTTTCCAAACACGCCGTTTCTGAGGGCACCAAGGCTGTCACCAAGTTCACCAGCTCTTGAACACACTCTTTCTCTTCTCTCTCTCTTTCAATTAGGGTTTATACAATGTACATTTTCAATCGTTTCTATTTCAATGGAGATTTCAATTTTGCAATAATTTTATGGGAAAAGTGTGTATAATTTTGAAGGATGTAAAGTTGTGTCATTTTAAGAGAGAGAAAGAGATAGATAAAGGAGGAGAGAGAGTTGACAAAAAAAATAAAGTTGTGGGTCCCACCTCTTTGTGAGAGTGAAAGGATGTAAGTTGTGTAATTTAAATGTATAGACACTTTTCCCTAATTTTATTGGCACAAAACTCATATCGCTTTATCTTAATGTATTTGATCATGATTCTTGTTGTTTCTTTTATTCTCAAGTGAATTTGGATTTCTTCACTGAAGAGTGAAGATTATTGAAAACTAATTAAATTTAGGTCTATTAAATATTTGTGGTTGTCAAAGCATTTTTTTTTTTTTTGTATAACTGTCAAAGCATTTCTTAGCTATTGATATTGAAGCATTTGCAGTTGATTATAAGAAAACTTTTTGGGGTCAGTGATAAGGTATCTTTATGTTTGTAAAAATACGTTGTCAAGGTCCATAAAAATTTTAAGAAATGGTATAAGCAGACTATATATATATATATATATATATATATATATATATATATATATATATATATATATATATATATATATATATATAGAGGTAGGAGTCTTTGACACCGGTGTCAAATTTGAAATTTGACACCTCATCTGAGAGCCATTAAATCAAAAAATATCAACAACTCTGATTTGTAAGCATGCGACATCATTGATCTTTTTTGATTTAATGGCTCTCAGATGAGGTGTCAAAGGATCCTACCTTATATATATATATATATATATATATAGTTTTCTGGATATGTAGTTTCTTCATTTGGTGAACTGGTGTTAAGGCTATAATGTGCTTCTTTTTGGTTTTATTTGTAGAACATAGAATTGGTTCATTGTTACTAGGGTTTTATTTGTGTCATCCTATTCTTGTTTAAGTGCATTTTGATCCACTGGCCTAAAAGGATATTGCTTGGACTTTTATAGTATGGTTTAGTTACGAGATGTTAGAAGAATGGACTTTTGCATTTGGGGTCTGAACTTTGATGTGCTTGGCTGCATGTGTTAAAAAAAATAGCTTTCTTAGGTTGGTTATTTATGGTGATCATAATCTTAGGATGATAAAATTGAATTTTCGTGGAATACTTTGGCAGGCTTCATTTTAATAACAATTTCTAAATGTCACTTTGTCTTGTTGACGAGAATATCTTTAATGCTATGGATATACCGAATGTTCGGTGTATCTTTCATTCACAATGTGATATGTTTTATTTTTGTCAAATCATTAAAAAATAATTATTTCAAAATCAGGTGAGATAGTAATTTAATAAAAAATAAGATATGTGTCACATTATGAGCGGAAGATATGCCGAAAACTCGGTGCATCCATAAAGAAAATTTCTCTGTTAATATGCTCAAAAGTTTTCTGCAAGCTTAAATGTCAGGTTGTATTCAATTATATATTGTTTCTTTGACATTCCTGGTGTCGGTTGTTTCTTATATTGTATTACATTCTTATTGTCTGAGCTGCTCGCAGGGACTTTGTTTCATGAATTTGGATGAAGTTTACAACTGGCCCTTGACAGATTTTTGAGTGATGAAACTATTTAAGGTTTACTCTTATTTAATTAATTTTTTTAAATAAAGTTTTTTCATAAAGGATAAATTCATGAATGAATGCATTAGAGATAAAGTTTAAAAACATCTATGAAGAAAAAGATATTAGAATCGCTCGAATAGTTTGTGTTGCGGTTGTTTCAATTAAGTATTTCCTGGTCTTTTGTTTCTTCCTATTTGAAACTGAGATTGGTTTGTTGAATGGATTTTTGCCAGACCCTTACGGTTCAACGATGGAATGGACTGCCAGCTGCACATAATTTGTTCTAATTTTACAAAGAAAGCTTATATTTACAACATATTTTTATTTATAACCTTAATTTTCGTTAATCAACCGTTATTATTTTTGTAAAGTAAATTTATTAATTAATTATTAATTCTTAATAAATAATAATAATTGATTACGGAAATCAGCATTTATGATGATGAATTGTTTCAAAATTTGATTTGTTTACGTAAATGATTGTTTTTTAGTAGCTTGTGAAAGATTATCAAGCCTAGTATTCCGAATATTCCTCAAGGCAGCCCTTTGGGATTGTTGAAATAAATCGGGGATGATAGAAATTGTCACTAGTGCTGACCTTAAATTGTAGGGTTATTATTTGTTCAACTAATTAAGCTCGTTTCGAATGTTATTGTGAATTGATTACCTCTATAAAATAAAGGAAAAAATATTTATCTTTTTAAAAAATATAACTTTGTGTCATTTTAGATTGTAACCGTTTATTTTCGTCAATCAACAATTATAATTTATTACTATGCGAGATTTTTTAAATCGGAGAATTATATACCAATAATGTTAAGACTGGTGTTTGATAGGAGCTAAACACTGATTAAAAAACTAAAAAGCAGTGAAAAATGATAATGTACAAGTGTAGGTGCTTACCTCTATTGTTTTCATGCCTTACTAACAGTGCAGTTGAATTTGCTTATGGTAAAATTTCACAAGCAAAGGTAATAAAATTTCTTTATATTGGTTTTTCTTGGGTTACATTCTTGTGGGCTTGATTCGTTGGAAGATCTATGACCCGCCCTTAGCATCTAGGGCTGTTTGTCCAACATTTTGTATGTCAGCTTTAAGTAACCTCTCCCACCGTACCCATTTCAACATCGTCTTGTCTGTTCATAGTAGTTGAACTTGGCCCACTCTCAGCTTTGGGCTTCTAAATATATAAAAGCATATCTCCCCCTCTGTTCTTTACTTTCTGACATTCCAATCACCATCCTCGTGTAGCTTTCCAAATTGTTTGGTGAAATTAGTGCTTGTGGAATTAGTCAACTCGATCAATGGCTTAATGATGGTTATAACAGGCTGAATTGAGTTAGTGAATGAGCCACTGTATGACTTACTCTCGTCCTTCTTCGTATGTGGTTTATAAGTAGAGCGAGAAGTAAAAGTTGAGCCACATAAGGTAATCCATGTGATTGTAATATGGACCGCAATTTTATTTTATTTTTTGTAAATTTAATACTAGGAAATTTAAGCCATAATATACCTTATTTTTATGTATATATTATATATATGATTGAAGTCATCAACTCAGTTATAATCAAAATAAAATGAAACCTTAATTTACAGGCCCCAAAACTTGCTCTTTCCTTCGAGTCTCATTTCCAGAATTGAGCGTACTTTTGTAAAACATTCTAAACAGTAGGTTTCAAAGCAGTTCCAAATTTCCAATCGATTTCACACACACACGCGTACGTGTGTGTATATATATATATATATATATATATATATGGACAGATCCTTTGACACCGGAGTCAAATTTTAAAATTTGACACCAAATTATATCCGTTGATTTCTGCGAATATACGATTATCATTTATTGAGAATTAATAGTAATTAATAAGTTTGATTCCCAATAAATAATAGTCATTGATTGACGAAAATGAATGGATATGATTTGGTGTCAAATTTCAAAATTTGACACCGATTATCATTTATTGGGAATTAATAATTAATTAATAAATTTGATTGTCAAAAATGATAACCACCGGTCAGACATAATATAGTTTGTAAGAGTTTGTAAACAAAAAATTTGTAAATATAACATCCCCATATATATATGGGTCAGAATCATTTTACACTAGTGTAAGTTGCACTCTCAATCTTATCCATTGATCCCACTTATATCTAAGAGCTCAAATTTTTTAGTAATGTGAGTCATTGGATACAAGTGGATCAATGATCAAGATTAATTGTAAGATTTCTAACTCTTACACCGGTGTAAAAATATCTTACCTCTTTATATATATATATATATATATATATTGGAAGATATCGATTTCACATATATAAGTGGTACTAACGCTACGTGATGATGACTTCCTCAACAAAATCAATAAACAATTTATTCATTTGTTATTAACAACAGTCTCAAGACTCTCAACACCTTTGAGACATTTTATTTTATTTTCTTAATATTTATTGATTAGTTTACTTAGTTATTCCAAAATATTGTATCACCTGCTACTTTAAAAAAAAATAAAAAATAAAATTAAAGGAGGTCTATGATTTAGTGTGAGAAGGAAAATGAAAGGCTGAAATGTAACTCACGTAATTCATTTTTAGAGCAAAGCTAAACAATCTCCAATATTCCCCGAAATTAACTCGTACCACTTGGGTTAAGGCTATTAAACTACCACTCTTTTTAAGTTTAAAGTTTGACTAACTTTCACGTGACATTTCTATAAAGAATCCACTTAAAAGATTTGGGAAATTATCATCAAAACAAAAAGATAACTTTTGATATTTTTTAATACTCAATATTAATTATTGGAGAAATACTAACAACATATCATGTATTATTATTTTATTTTTTTTGGTAATATGTAATATATTTTCTTAACACTTGCACTTGCAACACCATTACATTAGTCTGTGAGTTTTTATTGTTGATATAAAATCTAGGTTCGATTCTCCCTCATATTCCCAGCTCAATAAATGGAATTAAAACCTGATCCTTATCTCTTATGTCTTCTATTCCCTTCTCTTTTTCTTTTTATTCCTTCTTCTCTCTCTTCCTTTCTTTTCTTTTTTTTTTTAACTTGCAAGCACACTTTTTATTTGTTTCACTTATCTAAGCTATATTATGCAAAAATTATGGATTCACTTTCTTCTTTGTCTTATTCTCATGGCTTTTGCTCTTTTCATATCTCGGTAGGGTTGGGTAATAGCCAAAAAGTGATGGCATATATTCCCCTAATGGAACTAGACATTAGCAACGCCCCCAAATGATTTTACATAGCATGGACCCAACATGACACGAGTTTTCCTCTGATAATCAATAACTTAGGATTCTGAATCCTA